GTTTACAGTTCTAAATTTATTGTTTGCATAATTTTATAATACTTTGCAGTTATTTTAAGAAGCACGTTGTTAATCAATTTATTTAAAAAAAAAAACAAAAAAACAAACAAACAAACAAACAAACAAACAAACAAACGTTTTTTTAAGACGCAAACAAATTTAACCGCAATTTAAAGTGCAATATAAAATAAAATATTTGATAGAGTAACACATAATTCAATTCAAAATTCAATAGATAAATACACAAGATTAAAATACAAAAAATAAAAGTAAAATAATATTGAAACAAAAATGTTTACAGTTCTAAATTTATTGTTTGCGCATAATTTTATAATACTTTGCAGTTATTTTATATAATAAGAACCGCTGCGTAAATACAACAGCGCGTATGTCGTACGATCGCTACATGCGGATAGTGCGGGTCCTCGTCAACGAGGACACCGATGTTTCCGTCGTTTGTTACGACGGAACACGGTAATCGAATCGTTTGTTACAAGAAAGAGAAAGGGGAACGAGAAGGAGAGAGTCGCGGTTTACCGCAGACATGTTTCAGTGATGTGGGGCGTGTACGAGAGAAGACGTGTATAATTTCTTAAAATATTCACGAACTAATTAACACGGGAGGGAGAGATCGCACGCGCGGGATGAACGATAAAGATGATGTGATACCGCACTCACCCCTCGTGTATGAGATACGAGTTCTACATAGACAGGGTGCACGTACAACGTTGTTTGTTTGGCACTTCAGAAACACGATCTATATAACGTTAAGTGTATAAATGCATCGACGCGTATAACAACGCGAAGGAAGACACCAAAGATCGTAGTCACAATGCTTTCAACCCTTCCTCGGTAACTGAATCGTCGAGAAACATTTTTAATCTTTATATCCGTTTGCGTTTGCTTTTTTTTTCCTTTTTTTTTTTTATCTCTTTCTCTCTCTCTTATTCTCAATTAAATTCTTAAACAATAATTATGCTTTACGTTCTTGATAATATTATTATGAGTTAAAAAAAAAAAATAAAATTGAAGATAACGTTTTTTTTATTGTTACAGCGTTATATTGTTAGTGATAATAGTCACTTTTGTGCGTCGTTTGTGTACTTTAATATATATTATATGTATAAACATGTAAACAAAGGATTGCCACAAAACAATATACTATTCTCTCTCAGCACAATAAAAATAATATACTTTAATTTTATACATACATATATATATATGTATAAATTTTAATAAACAATAATTATGCTTTACGTTCTTGATAATATTATTATAAGTTAAAAAAAAAATAAAATTGAAGATAACGTTTTTTATTATTGTTACAGCATTATATTGTTAGAGAGAGAGTGATAATAGTCACTTTTCTGTGTCGTTTGTGTACTTTAATATATATTATATGTATAAACATGTAAACAAAGGATTGCCATAAAACAATATACTATTCTCTCTCAGCACAATAAAAATAATATACTTTAATTTTATACATAGATAGAGAGAGATATATATATATATATATATTT